CAGGGCCTCTTGGTACAAGAAAGATGTGGACAGTAAAGGCAAAGGAAAAGCCCGCTTGGGGGATGATCTTGTAGATGATAGTACATCAGAGGATGAGGGTTGGCCAAGAACACAAAGGCAGTTTGGTGAAGGGAGTTCACGCTCGGGGGGAACTAAACCCATAAAGCCTAGTCGTCATCCGATGGGTGGAATTGCTCAACTGTTGAGGGAGAGAGGCAATCCACAAGTAATTAAAAGAAAGCTTCATGGTCGCCAAAAACGTAATTTTGCTGAGGAGGTCAGTTTTTATAAACGCAGGGATGGTGTAAGGAATTGCCGAAAAAGGAAGAGGGGTTTGTTTTTGGCCTCACACAAAAGGAAAGAGACCCCTGTTAGATTTCAGGAAACTCCATTGAAGAAGAAAGATCTGGGTAAAGATAAGGTCTCTCGTATCAAGGAGGGAAGGAAAAGAAAGTCCAGTGTGGCAGGTCCTAGTGGCTATGAATCATCGCAGAAGAAAATTTGTTCGGATTGGATAGCAGTGATGGAGGGACGGAAGACAGATTACAAGACCTGGTGGAGAATTTTGTTATTGAATATGAAATGGCATCAATTTTTGAGCTGTTATGGGATGATAGAGATCCGACTGCTAAAGGGATTTCTCAAGAGGTTGTCCCTCAACAACCTCCTCCATCGCCATGAAGATTTTGAGCTGGAACTGCAGATGGATGGGCCACCCTTTGACAGTTCGAACAGCTATACATAAGCCTAATGTTCTTTTTCTTATTGAAACTAAGATGGAAGCTAGGAAACTGAAATGGTTGGGTTTACCTATGGGGTATCGATTTTGGACAGGGTGTGGATAGTGTTGGGTGCAACGGAGGATTATGGATGGCGTGGGATGACACGCACTCTATGAAAGTTATTTATAGGTGTGAACGTTTCATTGCACTTGAGGTGGAAGATTACTCCACTCATAGTTGGGTTCTTTTGTTAATTTATGGTCATCCTAATTTGAGTTGTCAAGAAGCTTGTTGGGATAGATTGGCAAATTTTATCTGAGGGATTCAGATTCCAGTGGTCTTGATTGGGGACTTTAATCAGATTTTATATCATAAGGACAGACAAAGTTTTTGTCAATGCAAGGTGAGAGGTTTGAATCATTTTTATCATTTCATGGAGACTTGTCATCTTCTTGATCTTCCGAAGTCAGGTGTTGATTTTACTTGGACAAACAATCGAAGGAAGGGGCTTCGGACTTACGAAAAATTGGATAGAGCTATGGCAACGAGGTGTTGGGTATCAAGATTTCGGAAATTTACGCTCACTGCTCTTCCCATTCAAAGATCAGATCACAGTCCCATAATCCTCAATACGGATATGGGAGGGCAAAGAAGGAATGGAAGAATTGGATATGGAAATTTTGAGGCAGCATGGTTGGGTGATGGTGCAATGGAGGAGATTGTACATAAGGTGGAATTTACCAGTGGAGGGTATGTGTTCAAGCTGTTACATCGCCAGAAAATTTTGCTCCGACATTTAAGGAATTGGCACCACCAACCTACTAGAAGTCTAGCAGCTCAAATTAAGGAAACCCAACGGCAACTAGCGCAAGTACAATGTCGTTTTCAGTCAGAGAATAACTTTGTGCGAGATTATGCATTACGAGCTCATTTGGATTTACTCTTAGAAAAGGAAGAAGTGTATTGGGCACAACGGGCAAAGCAACGATGGATGAATTTGGGGGATAAAAATACAAAGTTCTTTCACCAGATGGCAACGTTTAGAGCCTGTAAGAAAAGGATTGGATTCCTGAAACTGGATAACGGTGATTGCGTTATGGATCAAGGTGTCATTGAGCATGAATTTCTACAACATTTTAAGTTGTTTCACAATCAACAGGATTAATCTACATCCATTCTCAGGTGCATTTCGATTACCCTGTTAATTTTCAATTTGTTAATGTTTTGCAAAAGCATATTTTGGATGAACATCAGAAAGTGCTTGAGGCTCCTTTTACGGACCAAGAAATAAAACACGCCATTTTTACCATGGGTGGGCGTAAAGCTCCTGGACCTAATGGTATGATTGCAGCTTTTTATCATAAGAATTAGAAAATTGTGGGGGATAGTGTGATCAACACTGTTAAAGCCTTTTTGAATATGGGAGTGATGCTTAAAGAAATGAACCAAACGTTTTTGGTATTGATTCCCAAGAAGGCAGTGCCTCAATCGGTTAATGATTATCGGCCTATTAGTTTGTGTAATGTGGTATATAAAAGTATTGCCAAGGTTCTTGCAAATCGATTACGATGTGTTTTGTCAAGTATAATTTCCCCCAACCAAAATGCGTTCGTTCTCGGTTGAATTATTTCTGATAATATCTTATTAGCCCATGAGATGAGTCATTTTATTAAATTAAGGAAAAAGGGGTGTAAGTCTTGTTTTGCAATGAAACTTGATACGAATGAGGCTTATGGTATGGTTAGGTGGGATTTTTTGCTCATGGTTCTAAGATGTTTTGGGTTTAGTGAGCAATGGATTCACCTTATAGAACAATGTATGTCGACGGTGTAGTTTTTGGTCTTGGTTAATTCTAGTAAATCTGAATGGTTTTTTCCTTCTTGTGGGTTACGACAAGGTGACCCATTATCACCTTACCTGTTTTTGTTGGTCATGCAAGCTTTATCTGAAGGGTTGGTTAATTTAAATCAGCAAGGAGTGTGTTGGGTTCTCTCGATATCTAGAAATGCTCCCGCAATATCCCATTTACTTTTTACAGATGATTGTTTGTTGTTTATGACTTATAAAGATGAAGACGTGTGGTGTTTGAAATGGTTCTTGGAAGCTTTTTGTCATCAGTCAGGGTTAAAAGTTAACATCCAAAAATTGGCGATCATGGTTAGTCCTAATATGGGAGAAGTAGCAAAAAGGTTCATTAAGGACTGTTTTAATATTAGACTAGTAGAGAATTTGGGAATTTATCTGGATGTGTGCATAGATTCGGGTAAGAAAAAAGGGGGATTGTTTGGATCAATTTTGGAGAGGGTTCATAAAAAATTAAATGGATGGAAGAGAGGGCTACTTTCCTTTGCAAGCAGATGTGTGTTACCTAATCATACCCTTCTGTCCGTCCCAATTTATTTATTGGCCATTTTCCAAAGCTCCTAAGTATTTTGTGAAGCAGCTAAGAAGTGATGTGAGGAATTTTATATGGAAAGGAAAAGATGGTTCTGGCATTTTTTGGAAGCTGTGGGATCTACTATGTAGACCTAAATTAGATGGAGGTTTGGGTTTAAGGGATCCGAAGTTATTGAATCAAGCACTTCTAGCTAAATCAGCTTGGAGGATTTTAACTGAACCAGATAATTTGTTGAGTCAGGTTATGATGGCAAAATATTGCACGAATGAGAAATTTTTACAGGTTAAGGCCAAGAGTAGATGTTCATGGGGTTGGAGAAGTATTTTGTGGGGGAGAGATTTATTACAACAGGGTATCCGGTGGACTGTTGGAGATGGGAAATCCATTGATCCTTGGATACTGGGAATGGGTAATGAATTGGAAGGGCGCCAAGTGGGTGATAGATTTCGGGAATTCAAGGTTGTGCATTTATTGACCACGAGAGAAAAGAATGGAGAGTACCCTTAGTTAGCAGCTATGGCACAAAAGATCCTTAATATTTATATTCCTCGGACTCATGTACATGATAAGATTATTTGCGATAAATGTCTGAATGGGGTGTATAGCGTAAAATCTGGGTATGTTGTTGGTAGTCAATGTAGGGATAGGTCATTCGAGGGAGGATGGACAATGATAGATACGCTTTGGAAAAAGCTTTGGTTCCTACAACATGGATAATGTTTTTGTGGACATTAAGTCATCGTATTGTGCCAGTTAGAGTTGCTATTCAGAAAAGAGGTGTTAAGGTAGAATCTGTTTGCCCAAGGAGTAAAAATCAAGACAAAACACTGGAACATTTGTGCTTTCAATGTCCTTTTTCTAAAAGAATTTGGTTTGGTTCGAAGTTGGGACTCAATTTTGATACTGGTCCGGAATTAAGAGTGGAGGATTGGATTCAATTTTGGTTTCAAAATGCTCCAGATGAGTGTGCTATTGTTGAAGCCATCAAAGTTCTTTGGGGCATATGGGTTCATCGGAATCGGATAGCATTTGATAGTATCATTTTTTTATCCAATTTCCACCATTCACATGATAAACGAGTTGAGAATTGAAAATGTTTTTGAGATGCATTTCAAAACTGAAGCTAATAAGGAAACTGGAGGTAATATGAATTGTTTTATTATGTCTAATACTAACTCTCGGTGTGTAGATCCCGCTTACGCTGCGTTTTTGGTTGATGGCGCTTGGTATAAAGAGACGGAACAAGCAGCGGTGGCATAGGTGGTGGTTAACAGAAATGGATGGAAGGTGGCATCTAGGGCCTTTTCATTCCAAGTGCATTCAGCTCATGAAGCCGAAGCCTGTGGGTGTCTGGACTGACTACAATGGTGTTGTTCCCAAAATCTCAAGGCAGCTTTAATTCAAACAGATTGCCAAAAATTGATCACTAGTTTGAGATCAAAAGTTGCTGCTGGATATATATAATATATGTAAATCTATGGACTATGTTTGTATTATGAAGGCACATCTTAATATTGTAAAGCCCGCACATGTTGCCGCAAAAGCTGCCCTGCATGGTGGTAGCTAATTTTGTTGGTTAACTTTATATACACATATATTTCAAGTTTCTGTTTTCTCAAAAAAATAGTTAATTTCCTAGTAGTTTCCACACATCTACATCCTTTTTAACCAAATAGTCCAGACTATATATTCCAAGATTAATAATCCTATGAATTAACATCTACATCCTTTTTAACCAAATAGTCCAGACTATATATTCCAAGATTAATAATCCTATGAATTACGATTCCGTCCAAACAAACATGACTTATATTGTATATGTATGTATGTGAGTGTATATATGTATATGTATATGTATATGTATATGTAATTAAGATGACTATGGCGTCAGAAGAGCCGTCGACGAACCACCGAGTGATGTCTCCCTTCTGGATTTTGAGAGCGCAGGAGGGGGACAGCAGGAAGTGGCCGATTCGGTGATCGGCATCTCCGCCGTTGGACATCGTGGAAACCCTAGCAGAGCTCGATTCTCCACCGTTAGCTAAGTCAGTGCTCTGCTCCATTTTCGAAATCGGTCTGGCTAGAGTTCGAAGATTACGGTGGTGGTGGTGGTGGAAAGTTCGCCGTGTACGGCGGAGATTTCTAGGGCTTGAGCTGCAAGAGAGAGAATTGGGAAATCCAAGCCTAATAAAAAGTAGTCTAGAGCGCAAACCAAGAAGGCTCGCCATTTTTTTTTTGCTTTTGAGTCTTGTCAGCGTGAGTGCCAGTTTGACAAAATCGAGATTTGACTCCGTCAATTTTCATATGATCGTGTGGGTAGACTGTGTGCGTACGAGGATGGGGGAGATTCGAAAGGGGTGATCTGTGGAGGCGTTCCACGTGTCATTAATTTATTGGTATAAAGCATGAAAATTCGGAAACAAACGGACGACCTTTTAATTGTTGCTTATTTCACCAATATTTTGGGCCGCGAGGATCCTCTCAAGTATAAGTCTGTAGTGATCTCTTACAGTGATGCAATCCAATAGTTAAATTTAAAACTAACTAAAATATTGCCGTTTTGATTAATAAGTTGAAAAAAAAAAAAATCATCCACTTCTTCTTTCAACATTAGTCTCGTATACTCGCTTGCTTTCAAAAATCAAAAAAATAAATTAGAAATAATCAAACCCAAATCAGTATAAATAAGAGAGCAAGATTGATCTAGTATAGTATATATAGATATATCTATATCTATATCTATAGATATAGATATAACACCACCACTATGATTGTCAAGAAAACCCCCAAAACTCATGAAATAGGCTTTTTTTTTTTATCTGGGATAATACAGTTCGGCCCGGGTGGATGGGTCAGGCTAGCCCAGGTTCTTCAGGTTCCAGTTTCGGGTGGTGATTCTGTCAAATGACCTGCAAGCAAGTCCAAAGGGGAACGAGGCAGTCCCCCAGTGAACCCTCCGGCGAGAGAATTAGTAGAGGAAAACAGGAAAATGTAGGGAAGAAGATGGAGAGACAAAAAGCTTAACCTTTTTCTTGTGCTTCTCTTGTTGCTTATATCCTTTGGTAATCATTTCACTGTCCCTTGTGACGTGCCCCCTTTCCGCCGAAAGCCTGTGCCGTAGCTTACCTTGTTCAGGGTGAGGGGGCTCTGTTCTGACGGGGAGGTGTTGTCGTAATAAATGCTGTGATGGGTTGCATTAATGGTGATGTGTTGTGGCAATAACTCTGCAGATCTTTGTCTGTTGATGTGGCCTGTGTCTCATCTGTCATGTGTCCGAATGCCCTTGGCACTCCACGTACAGGTGGCCTCCAGCTGTCCTGGGCTTTGCCAACCAAGTTATGCTATGGGTCCAAAGCGATGGGTTCGGGGTGGTTTGCCGTGGGCTGTATGCCTCGTGGGCCTGTCCATGTCAATCTGTAAATAAGACAACTCACTCAATCACCCACCCTTTCTCTTACCTTGTTTCTCTCTCTAGATTTCTTCACTCTCTGCTAGACAAATCTGCAAACACTTGTTGAACGAGCATACAAACAATTGCATTCACAGATTAACATCATTTTTTTTACCCAACTCGGAAATTTAGAAAGAAACAACAATCTAAAATACAGTGTTTGTTATACTATACACAGAAAAACAAAAGATTAATTTGAGGAGAAAAAAAAGAAAGAAAATTGGAGAGGAGAGGTAGAGGGGGCAAACCCAAATGTCTCCAACTTCCTCTTTAGCATGATTTTCTAAGAGAAAGAAAGAGAAAGAAGGTGAGAGGGAGATTTATGATCTGGATTGGGCCGTTGAATTGGGCCGGACAGATTTGGGCCGGACAGAGTTGTGCCAGACAGATTTGGGCCGAACAGGTGTTGGGCCAAGTTGTGTGGCCCAGCCTTGAAGGAAGCTGTTCGGTTAAGGCAGCGCGTGGATTGACCGAGCTGCAAGGATCCGCGGTTACGAAGCCGGTCAGGTGAAAGGTCCAGCGCTAGGAAAGGCAAGGTTGGACCGAGGTACCTTTTTGCTCGGCAGGAAGGTCGACCGCAGACAAGCGTGAGTTGTCCCGAGCTCGGCTTTGCCGAGATGCCGCCGAGTCCGGTCCTCATCTGAGCTTAGCTGTTGGAGTACTTGGGCATGAAGCGCAGCATGGCAGACGATGGCCGAGATGGTACTGCCCGGCTGTCGAGCTCCTAGGAGAACGGGCAGGCGGTTGGGTTAGGTGGTGCTCAGCAAGGTTTATGCTGACAGATGGGATAGTAGTGCCACGTGTTGAGAGGACACTGGGAGTAGATTTGGGGCGCAGAAGGTATATAAACACGTCTGCGCCCCCCATACGCTTTTTTTTATCTGTAAATAAGGCAACTCGCTTAATCACCCACCTTTTCTCTCACCTTGTTTCTCTCTCTAAATTTCTTCACTCTCTGCTAGACAAATCTACAAACACTTGTTGAACGAGTGTACAAACAATTGCATTCACAGATTAACATCATTTTTTTTACCCAACTCGGAAATTTAGAGAGAAACAACAATCTAAAATACAGTGTTTGTTGTACTATACACAGAAAAACAAAAGATTAATTTGGGGAGAAAAAAAAAAAGAAAGAAAATTGGAGATGAGAGGTAGAGGGGGCAAACCCAAATGTCTCCAACTTCCTCTTTAGCGTGATTTTCTAAGAGAAAGAAAGAGAAAGAAGGCAAGCAAAGAAAGCTGATTTTTTGTATTTTTTTTTTTCAACTTACTAACCAATACGATCTCTTTTTGGTTAGTTTTAATTTCAGCCGTTGGATTGGATTACTTTAGGAGATCAACTTTAGGCTTTTACTTCAGAGGATCCTCACGCTAGTTTGGGGGCCAGTTGCTCTCAAGCTCGAAATCGAATTAGACGATATTGTTAGACATGGTGGGCTTGATTTCAAGCGTATTTTAATAATTTAAATTGTTTAATATATAAAATTTATCGAGTATATTATTTTTATAAATAATTATATTAATCAAATATTGATAGTCACTTAATTAGTTTGTATTTGTGTCTGTGATTTGTTTTTAAAAGTATAATCGTCATTAAAACAAATGTAAACTGATTAAATGACTATCGATATTCGATCTGCGTGATTTTTTCAGACATAATGTAGTCGACGAGTTCTATATATTAACGGTTTGAATTATGAAGACGAATTCAAAATCGGGCTCACCACAACCCAACAACATTGTCCAGTTTAATTCTAAACTGGAGAGAAGTTGTGGCCAATAGTTTATTAATAACCCTACAAATTCATATTTATGAATTCAGAATTTATTTAGAAAAATAAATCAATGGTTCAAATTTATTTTATTTATACACTCTTCACTATATCAATTTAACTTCCACTACACAAACATATTTGAGATAAATTATATGGTGATTAGTGTTTAAGTATAAACATATGATGCTTCAGAAATGTTAAATAATTTTTTATTGATAAGGATGGGTCATAACATTTTTGTTTTCAATATTACTTAAAAAGGAAATAAAGGAGAATATTTCAGTGGCATTAGAGCAATTAAGTAATATAAAGTGATAGACTTCCATAATCCTATTTGTCTAAGATGGTGAAGAAATAATTCAATTAAATTACAACTTAAGATTCGTTTGAGATGTGAGTTGGTTTTTTAGCTTTTTAATTTTTATGACTTTTATGAGAAAAAAATGAAATGATTATGATTTGGATATAATATTTTGTTTTAATGAATTAAAAAATCTATTTTATTTTTTTTTGTAACTATTTTAACTCAAAAACTTTATTTTAACTTATACCAAATAAATACTTAATATAAATTTTCAAATGAAATCAATTGAAATAAAGGGATATGTACCGTTGATCCTAATAATTAAGACAAGGTTGTTGAGTTGAGAAATGAAACACAAGTACAATAGAATTTAATTTATTCCTGTAGCTTTCATGCTAAGAGAAATTATGGTGGTGTTTGACTTAGGTCTCGTTTGGGAAGTGATTATTTTAGAGATTTTTTGATTTTTTAGTTATTTTAGTAGGTTATTTTAGTTTTTGTGTTTGGGAAGATGAAATAGATTTTTATTTGAGTTGTTGTATTGAAAAATGTGTTGAAATGATGCTTGAAGTTAAAATGACAAATTTGTCCCTAAAATTATAATTTTTTAAATTGATGTGAAGGGGTAAAAATGTAATTTTTTAAGTGATGTAAAAATTTGACACTTTGATAGTGTAGGCTTTTTGGCTTTTTTGACTTTTTTTTGTGAGAGAAGAATGTAATGATTATAGGTTGGATGTGATGTTTTGTTTGTTATGGCTAAAATAGCCTATTTTGTTTTTTGTGGCTAAAATAGCCAAAAAAATCTGAAAAAGCCCTTACCAAACACAGGCTTAATGTAAAATTTTCAAATGAAATCAATTGAAATAAAGGGATATGTACCGTTGATCCTAATAATTAAGACAAGATTGTTGAGTTGAGAAATGAAACACAAGTACAACAGAATTTAATTTATTCCTGCAGCTTTCATGCTAAGAGAAATTATGGTGGTGTTTGACTTAGGTCTCGCTTTGGAAGTGACTATTTTAAAGGTTTTTTGATTTTTTAGTTATTTTAGTAGGTTATTTTAGTTTTTATGTTTGAGAAGATGAGATAAATTTTTATTTGAATTGTTGTATTGAAAAGTGTATTAAAATGATGTTTGAAGTTAAAATGACAAATTTGTCCCTAAAATTATAATTTTTTAAATTGATGTGAAGAGGCAAAAATGTAATTTTCCAAGTGATGTAGAAATTTGACACTTTGACAGTGTAGACTGGCCCTACACTGTCAAGGCAGTTGAGACTATTTTTTTTTTTAATAAAAAGGGTTGCTACAGTAGGCTTTTTGGCTTATTTCCATTTTGAGGCTATAATAGCCCCAACCTATGCTTCCCAAACAGCACCTTAGTTTTGTAATCGTAATTCTAATAAAAAAAAAATTAAAAATCATTTCAAAATTCATAACTAAATACAATTTAAAAACTATTTGAAAAATTCATAACTAACCACATAATTTAAAACTCAATTCAATTTTTTTTTTCAAAATTTATAACTAAAACCTTTTCAAAACTCCATTAAATTTTTTTTTAATTTTTTATTTATTTATTTTGTTCTATAAAATTTTGCGTTAATCATAATTTTAAAACTAAACCAAACTTGATTTACTTTTTGCGATGTAATTTCTTAAAACTACTTTTGTAAAGAAGATATTTGAGAACAAACTTTCTTTCCCCTTGTTGGGAGATTCATTGTCATTTTATTACGACTAAAAGC